ATTTTTTTTTTTTCCAGTCCTTTTTTAACAACCTTTTTTTATTAATTCAACCCATTAAAAAGAAACAATGTATAATAGTGTCATAATAAATACAATTATTATTAAAAATTACATTTTGTTTTGTTTGTCGCATATAGTAAACTATTTATGTGTAAAAATACATTTGCTAGGGCTGGCCAATTAATCGAAAGTAATCGAAATCAACATTCAGAACCTAATCAATCTAATTTTTCTGGGTCGATCTTTTCAATTACTTTCTCTACCGCAACCATATATTTAATATAACAACAAAAATATTTGAAAAATATGTATAAAGTAATGATGCAATCCATTTAAATCGCTAATTTTAAGTGTAGCAGAATTTAACGGATGTACAAACAATTATCTTTTAAATTATTACACATCTTGATACTTTTTTTTATTAACGTGCATTTTTTTTTATAAATGGGAAAAAAAAGCAATAAAACCAGTGACACTAAGAATCATCATGAGAATCACAATGGTACCCATAAAAAAGTAATACCAGTAAACACTAAAAATATGCTGTAATACAGTGGTTCCCAACCTTTTTCTTTGGGGCCCCCCCTATAAACATATACAAACACTGGAGCCCCCCCACCATATAAATACACACGCATGCACGCACACACATATGTACTGTGTATATATATATATATATATATATATATATATATATATATGTATATATATATGTGTGTGTGTGTGTGTGTGTGTGTGTGTGTGTTTGTGTAATATTAATATATAGTAATATGTATAGAAAATATTAATTAATCAGTTTTAACTTGTCTTGGCCTTCAATAAAACCAAAATTTAGGTAGGCTTTGTCATACTGTCTAATCTTTTTCTTCGCCTCTGAAGAATCACTGCATTTACGTTTGTCTGCCATTTTTGTTTTGATTTTGCCTTTACGACACGTTGACAAGCAGATTGCCCGAGTGAGCAAAATTTAAATAATTATTTAGAGTTATTTATTTTAATTATTTTCACTATTATGTTGGAATTTTAAGCATGTGTTTAGATTATTTTTTATTTTTTGGGCTGCTCGATTTTGGGAAAAATCATAATCACGATTATTTTGGTCATAGTTGTAATCACGATTATTCAAAACCATTGCCAGTTAAAGTCAAAATTATTAGCGCTCCTGAGATTTTTTTTTTTTTTTTTATAAATATTTCCCAAATTATGTTTAACAGAGCAAGGAATTTTAACAGTATTTCCTATAATATTTTTCTTCTATTTGTTTTATTTTAGCTAGAATAAAGACAGGTTTAAATATTTTGAAACCAATTTAAGGTCAATATTATTAGCCCCCTTAAGCAATATTTATTTTTGATTGTCTGCAGAATAAACTACTGTCATGCAAAGACTTGCCTAATTACTCTAATTAAGCCTTTGAACTGCACTTTAATCTGAATGCTTGTATTTTGAAAAATATCTAGTAAAATATTATGTGCTGTCATTATAGCAAAGACAAAAAGAAATCAGTAATTAGAAATGAGATATCAAAACTATTATGTTCAGAAATAAGTTAATAAAATATTCTTTCCATGAAACAGAAATTGGGCAGGAAAAGGTTTGCTTATATTCAAGAGGGCTAATAATTCTGACTTCAACTGTATACATACGTTATTTTCCACCCTGCAAAGGAAGGAGAAATAAATACAATAGAATAAAATAAAAATATGAAACAAACTGTGCTTTAAGCATCTTCACTGTAAGAAAAACACTTTAGCTTCAGCATTCCTTCAGTCAAGAGCAGCGAGGGTTTTCTCGTTATGTTTGTTTAATAATGATAAAAACAGGCGGCAGAAGGATTATAGCGCGCTGTATCTTTAATGGTTTCTCTTTCACGTCTTTTGATCCGCAACTCGTTTGTTTATTACACAAATGAGGGTTAATGTAAATAATCACTAAACACCGCGTTTTGACACCTATTTGACCATTAAAGCGTTCACGTTAAGATGACTTTAGATGTCTGCGCTCCTCTGCTCGTCTCAGTGTGTGAATGAGAGTGAATGCTGACCGGCCACATGCTTCTGACTGCGTGATCGTGCTGCACACACACATAAGCTCTTTCGCGCTTTTAAGAGCAACACGTGTACAACTGTGGCGAAATATGATGCAATAATCATTTATTTCGATTAATGCTTTTTTATAATCGTTTGAAACCGAAATCTAAATCGGATTTTCGATTAATTGCAAAGCCCTTTATAATAGTGGACCATTTTTATGCCTTTTTCTACCTCAATACTTATCCTCTCCCGCGACCCCCCTGTGAACTCTGGCGCCCCCCTTAGGGGGGCGCGGACCCCAGGTTGGGAACCACTGCTGTAATATATCCAACCACATGTTGAAAATCATGGCATACTCACTAAATTAAGTAGATTAAATTAAGTTAAACTATTGTAACTACACTGCCATGTGTCCGTTATGAAATCATGAGATAAATGTGACACATTTCTGAAAACTGAAACATGACAGTGGATTTACAATAGAGGTCTTTCTTCATACATCGATGATTAGGAAACACACACACACACACACACACACACACACACACACACACACACACACACACACACACACACACACTCACTCACGCATACGCACACACAGTTATAGCTTTTCGTAATCCGTTTGTATGCTTAATATAATGTGATATACATAACGTTGCTATAACTTTACATACTGTAATATGTAATCAATCACATTCTTAAATAAATAGAACAATAAACGTATAACATGGTATGCTAACTATTAACATTTGCGTTTTAAAGTAATATATACAGTCACAAATCGAGTCTCTTATGAGAGGTCTGCAGATCAGTAACGTTATCTTAATGAACTTGGCCGAAAGTTACGTTAGAAAAGAATGTTGGATGTAAACAAGAGTTGCTTTCATTTTGAAACTAAAACCACTGTAAAAAAAGGACTAAAACTTACCATCGTGCGTACAGCAGAAGATATTGCAGCAGTGTAAACTTTTCACCGTACAGTATGTCAAGTTTTCCCGATGTTGTTTGTTGTAGCACATCAGCACAATGCGACCCATATGACAGGACTGTAAACATAAGTAGTTTATATATCGCGCCAACAAAGCAGGAAGAGAAGCGGCGAGGTTTAGCGAATTTACGCTCTGATTGGCCGACTAGGCTTTAATTATGAAGTTGAGAAGCAAGCAAATAAAGGCCCTCCTTTCATCTCGTATAGCTATGTCTTTAACCCGTTTTTAAATGTTGGCAAGACAGTATATTTGATTATAAAACTGTATTTATTTATAAGAATAAAATTACTGGTGTTAATCTCAAGATAATGGATTTAATTACATTGCTTTGACTAGCCATTATCGCTCAAAAAAATATACATTTATATATATTCATTTCTAACCACAAAAAAAGGAAAAATGTGTAACATTTAATAAGCATTTAGATTTTTTAATATACTCGAAAACTAAATAAATGAATTTACTTGCAGTGCAACTGGGTTTGAAATGGTCTGACATGAAACCTTTTTTACTTTTAATTTAAATGTGATTTTACTCGACATGGTAATATAAATATGACAGTTAGTAAAGAAAAATAATTATAAATATAATTTAGACTTTGTGGTTTATAAGTTGTTTTGTTATGACCTGCCATTACCTTGGTTGTTCGACCAACATTTGCATAATATGCTATAGTATGGTATAGTATAGTATAGTATAGTATAGTATAGTATAGTACAGTACAGTATAGTATAGTACAGTATAGTATAGTACAGTATATTATAGAACAGTACAGTACAGTACAGTACAGTACAGTATAGTATAGTATAGTATAGTATAGTATAGTATAGTATAGTATAGTATAGTATAGTATAGTGAAGAATCTAACTAAGGATCTGGGAAACCTTGTAGCAAACTTAAGTGTGTGTTGTTTTAAAAAAGCAACCATTTATCTGTGTTGTGTTTTATTTTTATTTGTTTATATTTATTTATTCTTCATTTAATCATTTTATTTTATCATGATTTTTAGTCATTTATATAATTATCATTATATCATTTTATTGCTCATGATGGTTAATAATATGATTATTATTGATTATTTGTCATTTTATTATGTTTTTAATATTTTATTTTTAATATTTTCATAGAATTACTGCTTTATTAATATTTATTTTTTCCATATTGTTATAGTCTTATGACACTTGTTTTCATGAGTAAGAGATAGGAGAAAGTCTCCATTTTAAGGTCTGTGTTGTCTCTGGACAATGTTGTGAAGCATTAATTTCCCATTGCTGTTGCTTGTGGTATAATAACACTTGCTGGATTTATCCTGGTCTGACGAAGTCCATGAATCCACGATGGCGCATTGGATAGCGCTGTCACCTTACAGCTAGAAGGCTGCTGGTTCGAGTCTCGGCTGGGTCAGTTGCCGATTCTGTGTGGAGTTTGCTTGTATTCCTGATGTTCGCTTGAGTTTCCTACCGGTGCTCCGGTTTCCCACACAGTCCAAAGACATGCGCTTTAGGTGAATTAGGTAAGCTAAATTGTCCGTAGTGTATGTGTGTATGTCTTGGTCCTCCAGATTGAGGGTTGAGCATCTACAAACCCACCCTAAAAAAACTAGATGTTATGAAACACCAATATGGTGCGGCTAAACATCAACTTCAATACAAATGGCCCTGTAAGTCAGTTTATCCGAATACAATACATTTTTTCTTGTCTAGAAAAAGCTTCTTGATCTAAAAACTCTCAGATATTTGGGCTAGAAACAAGACAACAAGTTCACCAATGATGATTGACCTAAAAGAGATCTTTACCCGAGCCCCCATCATATGTAAAGAGGGAAGAGAAAGCTTGCCTAAAATTCAGTTCATAGCAAAACTGGATACCTCATCCCTCCCACAGCACTCAATACACCATGCAAAGCAACGCCATACCTCGACTCATGACACAAAGAACCAATTGTCCATATTCAATAAGACAAACGCTCAACAACTGCATGTGAAAAATAGCTTTAATGTAAAAATAAGCTTGGTGCATTTTTTAAAAGAGGAACCGTGCCTTGAAGCAGACAGAGAAAGGGCCGATGAAATATTCAGTACATTCTTGCACAAGAGATGTGCCTTCAGAGGAAATATTAATGAGAGCGAAGATGTGCAGACATTGAAGAATCATTTATATCTCCGAGCCAAAAAGGTCTTTGTGATTTATATCAACCCCAGACATGGATGCAGGCCGGCAGTTTAAGAGTACGGACTTCTCGCATACATATTTCATTCTGCAACCAGTAACACATTGTTGGTTGTTCGTGTCAATTATTCAGATTTCCATTACAGTACCTATATATCTAGTAGTAGAGCTAATAAAACGTCAAATAATTTACTAAATAAATGCCTTCATTTTGTTGGAGAAGAAGCAGCAGTGGATTAGTTTGAGGACAAATGATCGGCTAATGGATTTGCATGTAAACTATGTAAACTAGAGTAGACTTTCTGCATACTTAACCCCACCACTTCCATTAAATGGTCCCTTTAATGCTGATCAGTATAAGAGCAGAAAGAGAGTCATTTACACATAATTCCTCATAATAATAATAATAATAATCTTCAATTAAAATCCACAAGGTATTTGGCGACTTCATTGTTCAATACAATACATATATCTTTCATTAAAATCACAACATTAAATTAATATATAAGCTATAACTGATTTTCTTTTCTTCGCTAATTGTCATAATGTGCAAGTGTCGGGCATCAGTCTTAAGTGTTGAAGGAGTCTAGGCTGTCGATGTCGGATCCTTCAGTGGCCTCAAGTCCATCTGTGTCCACTTTTGCCGTCGCAAAGTTAATGAACACCTAAAAAGACAAATGCAGACAATTGTTTCATTTCAGAGCTTCTGTTCATTTCTTTATTTCTATATATTAATTTCTGCCATCTTCACAAACAAACATTTGGCCGTTATATAGTGTATAACTATAGCACTTCTTTGTCTAGTTAGCACTTCTTGTGTGTATTGGCTTTTTTTGTTGAATCACTGAATGCCTCCTCAGTTGTAAGTCACTCTGGACAAAAGCATCTATGCTTTTAATGACTATAAATGACTAAATGTAAATGTGTATAACAACCAATGTTCTTGCAATTATATATATATATATATATATATATATATATATATATATATGTGTGTGTGTGTATATATGTATATGTATATATATATATATATATATATATATATATATATATATATATATATATACATACAGTTGCACCCTATATTCTCCATCCCAGTTTGCACTATTGATGCATACAATTGCAGTCAATCTGCTCCAGCCATTATACTGTTGTTTGCACATAAGCCAATTGCACTAGGCACTTTTTGCATAATAAGCACAATTTTAAGAACCACTGTACATTGTTAACATCTGTTTACATTACTCCACGATCAGTATTATATATTGTTTACATTCATAGATATTTATATATTTACATTTCATAGTCATACTTCCGTTACTTCTGTGTATATTGTGTATGTTATGTGTATGACTTCACTGTGGACGGCAAAGTAAGAATTTCATTGTACAGGGAAACATGTGTCATTGCAGTGCACATGACAATAAACAAATTGAATTTAACTGAAGTCAGAATTATTAGCCCCCCTTGTTTATTTTTTCCTCAGTTTCTGTTTAACAAAGAGCAGATTTTTTTTTCAACACATTTCTAAACATAATAGTGTTAATAACTCATTTCTAATAACTGATTTATTTTATCTTTGCCATGATGACAGTAAATAATATTTGACTAGATATTTTTCACTTCTATACAGCTTAAAGTGACATTTAAAGGCTTAACTAGGTTAATTAGGTTAACCAGGCATGTTAGGGTAATTAGGCAAGTTATTGTATAACAATGGTTTGTTCTGTAGACTATTGAAAAAAATATAGCTTTAAAGGCGCTAACAAATTTTGACCTTAAAATGGTTTTTAAAAAATAAAAACTGCTTTTATTCTAGCGGAAATAAAAGAAATAAGAGTTTCTCCAGAGGAAAAAATATTATCAGACATACTGTGAGAATTTCCTTGCTCTGTTAAACATCATTTGGGAAATATAAAAATATATATATATATAAAATTGATGCAATACAATAACCTATTAACGTATAAATCATTAAAGTAAATAAAATACAGTGTCCGTTTCGCAATTCATACATTCATTGACACAAAATTTACTTCAATTAAAAATTTAAATATCTTGTTGCCAACCAATTTTTTTAAACATCTAGTTAATTTTGCACATAAATAGAATAAATAAAATAATTTAAAAATTATATTAATAATAAAAAACAAGCAATAATATTTATAAATTAATAAATAGACATATATTTATTTCATTAATTAAGCAATAAATAATGTATCATTGGAGTATTATTAAAATATAACCTGCAATTATGTTTATTTCTCAACATTTTAAGGTTACATCTCGCAGTTGAAACGTTTTTTTCAACGAATTCTGTTTACATTTCAAAATACTGATTTCTTTCCCTCAGAGTTCACAGCTCACAACCTTATCTCAGAATTTCATCTTTATTTCTTGAAACATCAAGTTTAAATGATTTTATTTGAGAAATGAATCAAATGAACTCAAATTTATCAGTTTAGAATTCAAATCTGAGAAAAGCAAACCTAAAATAGAAAAAATAAAATGTAACATATTGCATTTTTTTATATGGCAGAAATAAGCTTCAGCATTTAAATGTCTTCAAGACACTAAATATAGGACTGTACTTCTATTCTATTATATTTCTTTTATGGCTGAACAAGGCTGTAGATCTTTATAAAAAAAAAACAATCTCTCTTTGCGTTGCACAGAAAAACAGCATGAGGATAAATCAATAATAAATATTGACCAAAAAAAACTCTTTCTGCTAGACAGCTTATGTATCTTACCTCATCCAGCGTGGTCTGGCTGACTGAAAAGTGTTTGATTTGCAGAACTGTCTTGTTGGACTCTAACAGGCTGAAGATTGAAGCCACACCACCAGGAGCAACAGGCACATGATACTCCACCATATTGGAATGATTATCCTTTATGGAAAGAAAATGGATCATGTAAATTAGACAGCAAAATAAAAAACAAGGAGTTACAGCATACATTTAACTCTCCCTGAGGATCACTAATAATGTTATTTAGTGAGTGTTTCCTTAAAACAACAAAACAATTTTAGTGATTTTTATTAGCACTTTCACCGTTACTCTGGCCCAAAAAGCTCTTACATTTTCAAGACTTTTATAAAAACACCTTCTTTTACTATTTGTATTTACACTACACTTCCTGGCAAAAGTCTTGTTGCCTTGATTTGTCAACTTGACTTCTAGTTGATCATTTGATATCAGAAGTGGCTTATATGAAAGGCAAAGGCCTCTAGATTACGCTTATTTTATCAAAATAAAATATGATCATGCCTTGATTTTTAATGATTTAATTAGGACAGTAAGGTCTGACTTTGCTGAGACAAAAGTCTTGACACCTAACAGAAATAATGTACAGTATAGAATATAACGCATGCTGCAGTGGAAAAAGAAATAATATTGTGTATGACTTCAATGAGCTTGGTCCATACATGTCTGCAATGACTTAAATAACATATTAATAAAGTCATCTGGAAGAGTTCATCAAGATTCATTTTCAACGCCTCCTCCACCATCTTACCCCAGACATGCTCAATAATGTTCAAGTCTGGTGACTGGGCTGGTCAATCCTGGAGCACTTTGACCTTCTTTGCTTTCTACACTGTGCCACTTTTTTAAATGATCAACTAGAAGTCAAGTTATTAATTGTTGCTCCTACAGCTGAAATTGACGACAAAGATTCAAAAAAAAAGATTTGTGTAAAATGAATTTTCACTTTAAGTTGAAGTCACTATTAAAACACACAAATGATTACAAAATAAAGGCTGAGTAAATGAATCAAAATCAAAACTGCAGAAGAACAGTATTAAAAGGTTTTCCAGCTGTTTTAGAACTGTATTCAGGCTGCACTATGTTTAAATGTATTCATCTGATGTAATAAAGTTGAAGAAGTTCAGAAAAGGCTGAGTCTGCAGTTTAGTTTCAATAAATATTCATGAATATTCACTTTCACTGCAGAGAAAGTTTGGAGTTCTGAAACTTTTACAGGTCGCTTTTGAAGAAAGCTCATCTCTCATTCAAAAATCAGCCCAAAATATATAAATGATAACCTGGATCCATAAATGAAAGTGATCATTTTATTTAAATAGAGAAAATAAAATGCCAGAGAAAACAAAAGCAAAAGTAAAAAGTCAAAATTATTAGCCTTTGTGAGATATGAATCACACAGTTTAATAGAGAGATATTTTAAATACATTTTAAAATATAACCCTTTTGATAACTAATTAGGCCAGACCAAATCTGAATTTTTATTACAATTACTTTGCTATTACTGCGCAGAATTTTTAATACAAAACAAATAAATAATATTAGTTGAAGTCAGAATTATTAGCCCCCTTGTTTATTTTTCCCCCCAATTTCTGTTTAACAATTTTTTTTCAGCACATTTGTAAACATAATAGTGTTAATAACTCATTTCTAATAACTGATTTATTTTATTTTTGCCATGATGACAGTAAATAATAATTGACTAGATATGTTTCAAGACACTTCTATGCAGCTTAAAGTGACATTTATGGCTTAACTAGGTTCATTAGGTTAACTAGGCAGGTTAGGGTAATTAGGTAAGTTATTGTATAACAATGGTTTGTTCTGTAAACTATTGAAAACAATATAGCATAAAGGGGCTAATACTTTTGACCTTAAAATGTTTTATTTTTTTAAATAACAACTGCTTTTATTCTAGCCGAAATAAAACAAATAAGACTTTCTACAGAAGAAAAACTATTATCAGACATGCTGTGAAAATTTGCTTTCAATTTTGCTCTGTTAAACATCATTTGAGAAATATTAGAAAAAGAGAAAATAATCATTCTGACTTACATAAATACATCTGTACATACATAAATATAAAATAAAACGTAAATAACTATCTAACTAACTTAATAAATTAATAAATTTGCAGATGTTTGTGGAATGATTTTGAGAGTATAGTAAGTACAAACTTAACACATCAAATAAAAAATAAGAACTTTATAACTTTTATTTATTTATATTTTACAATGTAAATCCAATTAGATTATTTTTTTTGTTAAGTAATGTCTTGCAAATAATATATCTACTAAAAAGCAGTATATATTACTTTACTTTTAATATTAAATTACTTTAAAATTACTGTACAATATAAACCTTAACTGTATTTTGCATAAATTATCTAAACATTTGCAAACTATTGAATATGTAAAAATGTGTTATCGAAGAATGTATATAGAAATAATATATATTTACATGTAAATAAGTAAATTTATAGACCAGGGATTGGCATTTTAAAGGTCAAAATTATTAGCCCCTTTAAGCTATCTATTTTTTCGATAGTCTACAGAACAAATCAAACCATCGTTGTACAATAACTTGCCTAATTACCCTAACCTGCCTATTTAACCTAATTAACCTAGTTAAGCCTTTAAATGTCACTTTAAGCTTTATAGAAGTGTCTTGAAATATATCTGATCAAATATTATTTACTGTCATCATGGCAAAGATAAAATAAATCAGTTATTAGAGATGAGTTATTAAAACTATTATGTTTAGAAATGTGTTGAAAAAATCATCTTTAAAAAATCTTCAAAAACTAAACAGAGGGGCTAATAATTCTGACTTCAACTGTATATATATATATATATATATATATATATATATATATATATATATATATATATACATATATAAAATATATATGTGTGTGTGTGTGTGTGTGTGTGTGTGTAGTTTCACATGAGTTAAACTGAACATTCTCATATAAAAATCTAAAGTATTTAAGATGTGCTTTGTTTTTGTCACCTTCAGGCACGTGCCGGGGAAGTTCTGCTGCATGAAGTTACTGATCATATCTACATCATAGGAGGCTCCGGTTAAATACATCTTCACCGTGAACCCGCTGCCGAACCTGTCAGACCAACACAAGATTATTTTATCAGTGCCGACTGAATTATGAAGTGTCTGCAGGAGATATCAAGCTCTGCAGCAGCAATAATAGTGGGAAACAAAAGGAGACGTGAGGAAAGCAAAGGGGAAATAATTGCTAGTTGGAAACAGAGGACACGGAGAGAGATAAAGCGCTGACCTGTTCTTGATGTGCTGTAGGGAACCCAGGCATCTGAACTGTCCTTTCACCATTATGGCCAGACGAGTGCAAAGAGCCTCACACTCCTCCATACTGCGGACACAAATACTCTCTCAAACCACAGCTGGCGAAAACTTTCAGTGGAAATATGCCATGCTCAATGTTCGCAGGAGATGCATGGTATGGTAGTGTATAATATATCACTGTCTTCAGGCTTTTTTTAAATGTGTTTAAAGTTTCTGCAATGCTTAGTGGAGGAAACAGTGTGTCTTAAATAGTTTTTTTATCTAGTTTTCACTGACAACTGAATCCAGAAGACTTCTATAAAGGTAAAATACAGTCGGCGAGGCAACACTGAAAAACAGAAATGTTGGCATAGTTTTCAAACTAGGGACTGATGGAGCTCCAGGGGGGCCGCTGGAAAATATAGCTTAAAATATATATGGTTTGTAAGGATCTCAGTGTTTTAATAACTTATGGCATTATAGCAAATCGACTTCTGATATGAAGCTGAAACTTTTTCATCCATAATGTTAAGTTAAATTATTAACATTCATTTGTGTATATATTTTAATTAGGATATAATATGTTATAATCATGCACACTAAGTAGTTTTGCTTTTGGGAATATTTATTTTTTCAACTAAACAAATGTATTATTTAGAAACATATTCTGTAAATAATTCATCATAGCTAATTGTTAAGAATATTTTTATATAGGAATAAATAGACTTTCATAAGATAATTTTCATATATTAACATATTAGTGTCATATAGTAATACATATTTGCTTTAATATATTAATTAATATATATTTTTCATATTATTACACATATTATACATATATTAACATGCATACAAACACACATATTATTATGAGTAAACAAATATTCAGTATATATTGTAAAACTAAAGAGCAACATTTGTAAATTTTTGTGCATTTAATTTTCCTAGATTTCTATAAAATTCTCCACTTTATTTTGATATTATATGTAGCTCGTCATCTTTACAAGAAATATTTACTACATTATTTTTTCTTTCTAAAAAATGTTCAACTGTCATTGCTATGAATTGAATTGATACTAAGGACTATTTTATGGGCAATTAATATATAATAATTACATAATTATTACTTATTAGACAAAATTAGCTATAAAACTGCTGTGAAATTCTATATACTCGCATATCAAGAGCAAAATTTGTCTTAATATAATTACATTCTTAAGGCTAATAAATAATTAATTGTCCTTATAGTACCATGCTTAAACATTTCTTTTATTATTACTATAATTCATTCATTCATTGTCTTTTCAGCTTAGTCCCTTTATTAATTTGGGGTCGCCACAGTGGAATGAACCGCCAACCAGCACATGTTTCACGCAGCGGATGCCCCTCCAGCCACAACCAATCTTTGGGTAACATTTATACACACTCATTCACACTCATACACTACGGAATTTAGCCTACCCAATTCACCTGTACGGCATGTCTTTGGACTGTGAGGGAAACCGGAGCACCCGGAAGAAACCCACACGAACACAGGGAGAACATGCAAACTCCACACAAAAACAACAACTAACCCAGCCGAGGCTTGAACCAGCGACTTTTTTGCTGTGAGGCGACAGCACTACTACTGCGCCACTGCGTCATATACATTATTATTATTATTATTATTATTATTATTATTATTATTATTATTATTATTATTTTTATTATATTTTTATTGCTGTTGTTGTTGCCATTGTTTTTAATTTATTCATTAATTTTCTTTTCGGCCAAGTCTCTTTATTGATTAGGGGTCGCCACAGCGGAATGAACCGCCAACTTATCCACTAAATGTTTTTACACAGCAGATGCCCTTCCAGCTGCAACCTATCTCTGAGAAAGTCATTAATGATTGCCTAGCATTGCTATGAATTTATTCAAATGACTATACTGTATATTAACAATTGTTCGCTTATGAGACAAAAATCTCCATAAAACTGATAGATATAATTGCAAACTTAAGGCCAATAAATAAATAAAAAATATCCTTAACATAACTTGTTTAAAAAAGTGCCTTTTACTACTATTATTTCTATTATTGTTGTTTTTGTTGTTTTTTCATATTTATTATTCTTCTTCTTATTTATTATTATTATTATTATTATTATTACTATTATTTATTTTTTTGCTTGAAATACAGTACATGTTTATAACTACACTGTAAAAAAGACATAATTCCATACAATCGATTTGATAAAACATGAAGGAATTAAGTTCATTTATCAGTTTTTGCAAATTTAAGTGGACTAAAAATAAAACAATTAAGTTGTCCCCACAAAAAAAAAATCAAGAATTAAGTTGTTGCAGCTCATTTTAAATAAGTAGTTGTGTATATGTACACTGTAAAAAAATGGGTTGCCTTAAATTTTTAAGCTGAATCAAATTAACCTTATGAGTCCATTGAACTTATATTATGTTAACCTAATCTAAACTGCTTGCGTAACTTATAAAACTAAGTTAATCATGTTCTGACTTAATTTTATAAGTTACAATGATTTTAAAACACATTAATTCATAATATAATTTTTTACAGTGTACTAGTGTGTGTCATGAGCATGTGTTACCTGTGTGATGTCAGCACCACCGCGCATTTGCCCATCACTTGTTCAGAGATGATCTTCCAGAGATGCCGTTTGGATCGTGGGTCCATTCCAGAGCTGGGCTCATCCTGGGAGGTTACAGAAGAGACATGTGAGAAACATGTGGGATGTTCCAGAGAGCTTACAAAAAAAAAATATCCAATGCAAAAAACCCACACACACACACTCTCCAGGTAAACGCAATCATGCCCACATTTCAAGTCAGAATAAGTGATGTGCTACAAGATGTTGGCCAAACAGCACACCAACGCATTTCAGAGGTGTTTGCAACGAGTGTGCAATATTTACCCATTCAAAGCCCTCAGAGCAAACACTCCAGTATGGTGATTTATAGAGCTGCTGTGTGATTTACTAAAGAGTGGATAGTTTCAGCTTAGCGTGAAGATGATGGTGATCATGTGTGTTTTTGGCTCACCAGGAGAAGGATCTGAGGGTTTCCGATGAGGGCTAAGGCTGTCGAGAGTTTCCGGCGGGTTCCGCAACTGTAGCTCTCGCTTGTGTTGTTTCTGTGGTAATTCAGCTGCAATTTTTTCAACAGATAGTTCACAACCTAAAAGGAAAAAAGCAAGAGATGATGTTACAACAAATATATGCACATACTGTATGTTCTTCGTCTCCACATCTGGTGAGAGTTGGATTTGGAAAAGAAAAATTTCCAAATAGAAAATTTGACGAACGTTTTCCAAGTTTTTAATTCGAAGCACTTGCAAAACAGCTGTTATCAAGAAAGGAGAAGCTTTAAGCTTGTTGGTCAAATAGTCAAATAGAAATAATTAGTTCCTTATTTTTAGTAATAATAATAATAATAATAATGATTATATTAATAATATGATTAATTAATATTACTATTAATGATAGATATATGCTTAATATATTGTAAAAATTCTATTATATTTTAATATAAAAAGTAAAATTTCCAAAAAACAAAACAAAACAACAAAATACAAATCAGGAACAAAAACATGAAACTAAAAACACAATATAAAACAAAACACAAAATAAAAAAAAATAAAAAAAATCCTAAAACAAAACAAAACAAAACATGAAACAAACAAAAAACAAATCAGAAACAAAAACATGAAACAAAAAACAAAATAAAACAAAGCACAAAATAAAACACAAAACAAAAATCATGAAAACAAAACAAAACATGAAACAAAAAATACGAAATACAACATGAAACAAAACAAAACAAAACATAAAACAACAACATAAAAACAAAACATGGACCAAAACAAAACAAAACATGAAACAAAACAAAACATGAACCAAAACAAAAAAAAACAAAATAAAACACAAAACAAAACATAAAACATAAAGCAAAACAAAACATGAAACAAAACAAAACAAAACATAAAACAAAACACAACAAACAAAAAACTAATCAAAAACAAAACTAATCAAAACAAAAAACTAAACATAAAATAAAACAAAAAGGCGAGAAAATATTTTTGTGGGAAAATATTCTTGTACTTTTTTTTTTTTTTTTTTTGCTATTTCTGATCAGAACAATCTCAAACAAATTCTCAAACCGGGAACCCTTTTTTTTTAAGTACTTACAGTTCAGTCATGACTTTCCTGCAATTTATTTTTGATTAACAAAGCAATAATTGTCCCCAAAAAAGGCTTAACAAGTTGTTCTAACACATTAACCGGTGTGGTCTTGACATTATAATGAGTCACTTTGAATAATGTTTTGATTAAATGCCTGTTGACATTTGACCCAGCACAGCGCATGTCACGGTTTCTGCATTCATTTAACTAATTGGATTCATACATCAAAGGATCCAAGTAGACGTTCTATGAATTTAAATAGCTTCTCATAAACCTGTAAGAAACCATAAAGGACTCTTCATCTAACAGGGGTTACGCGCACCTACAGATCATACAATTGGGCTGAAATTTTACCACACGCTTCCCTCAGGAAATCAAAATTTACCAGCCGTTTCCTCTGGATCCTCTAATACAAGTTAATGGGCCAAACCGCAAAAGCCATTTCAAAGTCTCAGCAGCTTCTACACCAATGCTGCTGGTGGCCAGAATATGACTGATGATATTCATAGATTGTTAAGTCGATTCCCACTCTGCCCTTGTTATAGAAGGGTAACATCATCGTTACGGGGTGCTGCCTTTACTTCATTTTAGACACTGTTGGACTTTATATCAATTTTACTCAAGTGTTACTTCAGCCAAACACATTTAACATTCTGATGTGATTTACTCAGCCTTTTTTCATTTCAAACCTGAATTACTTTTTTCTTTCTTTCACAAAAAACAATACAATGTACAATATTTGTTTTATGATTTTCTTATTAGTAAAAGTGGATAAAGGCCTTAAGTATTATGTTTTATTTCATACTCTCTGTGGCTGTTGGATGCCTGATTCTGATTGCTTCATAAACATTCTCATGATCAATATTAAACAAATGCACAGGTAAAATAGCTTGATGATATACCATATTACTCTACTTGAAAAAAGTCGTGTGGCCTACCCAAGTTTTAAGAACAACGAATAATAACTTGACATCTGGTTGATCATTTGGTATTAGAAGTGGCTTATATGAAAGGCAAAGAACTTAACTGAAATAATGTCCAGTATAGAATATAAACTCATAGTGCAGTGGAAAGATAACTAATATTGTGTATGACTCTCATGAGCTTGGACGACTGCATCTATACATATCTGCAATGACTCAAATGACTTATTAATAAAGTCATCTGGAATGGCAAAAGAGTTCTTGCAGGACTCCCAGAGTTTATCAAGAATCTTTGGATTCATCTTCAATGCCTCCTCCCTCATCTTACCCCAGACATGCTCAATAATGTTCATATCTGGTGACTGGGCTGGCCAATTTATTAATAATTTATGAATAATTTGTTATTAATGTCATCTGGAATGGCGATGAAAGCATACTTGCAGGACTCCCAGAGTTCATCAAGATTAATTGGATTCATCTTCAATGCCTCCTCCTTCATCTTACCCCAGACATGCTCAATAATAATCATGTCTGGTGACTGGGCTGACCAATTTATTAATAACTTATTAATAAAGTCTTCTAGAATGGCAAAGAACGCATTCTTGCAGGATTCCCAGAGTTCATCAAGATTCTTTGGATTCATTTTCAGCGCCTCCTCCTTCATCCTACCCCAGACATGCTCAATAATGTTCACATCTAGTGACTGGGCTGGCCAATCCTGGAGCACCTTCACATCTTTGCTTTCAGGAGCTTTGATGTGGAGGCTGAAGTATGAGAAGGAGCGCTATCCTGCTGAAGAATTTGCCCTCTCCTGTGGCTTGTAATGTAATGGGCAGCACAAATGTCTTGATACCTCAGGCTGTTGATGTTGCCATCCACTCTGCAGATCTCTCGCATGCCCCCATACTGAATGTAAACCCAAACCACGATTTTTCCTTCACCAAACTTGACTGATTTCTGTGAGAATCTTGGGTCTATGCGGGTTCCAATAGGTCTTTAGTATTTGTGATGATTGGGATGCAGTTCAACAGATGATTATGCGGATAAATCTACCCTCTGCCACTTTTCCAAATAATTAACTAGAAGTCAAGTTATTATTTGTTGCTCTTACATCTAGGATTGATGAAAAAACTTTTGTTAGGTAGTGTTAGAGCATAATATAAAGCTTTTTTTTTTATTTTAGGCAGTAAAAGACCATAGGATTATGACAATACTGTTCAGATCTTAAAAAAGCTATGTAAGTATATGAAAACCAGTATCACAGAAAAAATGAAACTATGGGAAATGTTAATTATTATAAATCAGTTAAATTGATCAGTATATTATATGTATTATTTGAGATCATTTCTGCACAGGCTAACCAACGTTAAAAAATATCAGCAGACATAAACCTGAATTAAATGAATGGAGAAATGTGTGTGTGTTATAGAGCCGTGCGCTCATAACTTCATTAATGTGTCACACTCTCCGATCATAACAGAGTTGATAGATTCAGTTCAGCTTTAAGCTTTCTACATCAGAATACTGTGCAGGATGCAATGAAAAAGAAAACAGAGATAAAACAGTGTGATTTATCTTCTAAACAGTTTGAAACCGCATAACACAAAACAAATGCTTCCGACTCTAAAGTAAGATTTAAAACCTCATTTGTTCTCTACATTTAACTGATTATTGAAGCTTGGTGTCTAATTTGTATATCGACTTTATTGCTGCTATGTAAAAACAATGATGAATAGTTACCTAATAATGTTCAGAGATCCGTTCCAACTTTTCTGAAGTGAAAGTCATAAAATTAAAACAGCTGTTCTGTTTTTTTTTTATTATTCAAAAAAACCAAAACTCACAGAAATCAGCCACAAATCAGCTACCACATTCAACAACAGACAAACACTCACTGAAATACAAGGGCTATTTATACAGGTGACAGCAACAAGGCTTATCATATGGATGACGTAACAAGGGGAGGAGACAATGACACTCCAGGACAACTAACATTAACATGGGTGTGGCACGAGAGGACAACAGCAAGGAGTAACAGACATAACAAAACGAGTCAGACACATACAAAGACAGGGATGGGGCTGTAACATTAAATAAGTAGTTTCAACAAGTAGCAAAAATACTTTTTTCACTGTATTTACATGCATTAATAAATTAACAGATTTGACAGTGGGCTAAAAAACGTGTGAATTTCTGAGCAAACAGATTCCAGGTGGGCCTAGTTATCAATAACAGCTAAAATTTCCATTTCAGGGCATCCCTAAACAATAAAAGCCACAATTGAGTGATACAAACAGCTATTAATAACACATACAGGTCTATTGTTGGATGTGGATGCTATTTCAACTTTCAGAACTGCTTGATAAAGTGACATTACAACCTTTTATGCAAGCTAGCTATATTCTCTCAGACCAGTGTATCAGTCTTTAGTAAAACTAAAAATAAAGATTTCGCATCTGTGGCCAAGGGTGAGTTTTTAAGAAGTGCTTTTTACCAATAAACCTGAGAGAATGCAAGATTAATTGGCTTCCTCGTTAATCAATGCGGAGGAGAGCCAACTGCTTCCTGTCAAATGCAATACTGAGACTATACCAAACTGAGATCTATTCACAAAGCCTTCTGGAATCCAACAGGGGTTTCCAGGCCGCGGTCGATGATGGTTGAAACTGGTGAAGTTAATTAATAGTTAAAAAGCTTGGTGGCGACAGCAGAAGCATATTTTTTACTTGTGTGGAAAGACATCATCAAACTAGAGACACACTTCATGAGAAACAGATGCAAAACCTTTGTTCGAGATTTAAATGATATATCAGTGGGTCAGTGATTTGTGTCCAGTGATGGAAAGAATCCTAAAATATATATTGTCAAGATAAAGAACCAATACTTACAATAAAAATAACTATTATAAACTACTTAAAGTAAGAGTATTACAATGTGATAATTACTATTTCCTCTGATACCCTGCCAATAAAATTTTTGTTTACATGACGATTCCTTTTAAGGGTGTTTCTTAAGCATTTCTAAGTTAAATTATTTGCCATTCATGGATAATATGATGAGTTCAGATGCAAAAAAAAAACTGCCATCTGAAATTCCCATATAAAATAGAACATTATTGTCATCCCCTTTTGTTTATGTGGAGATATTTGCCTTTAAAGACCAGAAAAAGAACTTATTCTTTGCCATAAAAGTGACGTTACTGAACATACACACAGGATCCTGATGAAAATGCTCATTTTAGAAGAAAATTCCAGACAGCATTTAGAGGTTTTTGCATCTAAACTCTTCCTATATTAAATGTGAGATTAATCTAATGTGAGAACACATTGCATTATTTTGCACCTATAATAAGCCAACAGAAAGCCGGTTGATGCGTTTAGATGCTGAGTAAATTCTGTGCTAAGGGGCAGAATGTTTTCTGAGACGATATGTTAAAGCTTAGGTTATTCACTTCGAACCCTGACTAACAAGTTAACAAGATATGATTGTCCAATAGGGATGAAACAATTAATCTGACTCACGATTCGATATGATTACAGTACTAATCTCACGATTTACAATTTAGTCATGATTTTTTAACAAAATTATTTGAAACAAATTTAAGGTGATGAGCCCTTTCATTTTTTTCCTAAATGCTGCACATTTGTTGCAAAATATATTTTCTGCCATGACTAAATTGCCCTTAAAAAATACAATAATACAAGCTAAAGAAGACTCATTAATATAAACAAACTAAAATGATGACTGTGCTAGGATTTTAAATTTTTAAAAGAAACGTCAGAAGATCTATGATCCAGGGGACGGACCACTGGCATAAAACACTGATTATAAAATGACTAATTATATAGTAGGATAGAGACAGGAGTTGAACATGATTATGAAGGTGAATAATTAATATTACTCGTATAATTAATTTGTTTAGGTATCAGTGCGATACACTTAAGAAGAGATAATCGTGAACATTTTTAAATATTCAATAATAAAAATAAGCAAATTATTAAAATATGAATAAACTCATTCAAAAAGGAGAGGTTAAATAATCTAATACCAGCTTTTGTAACAGAACAACTTTCTTTTTCATTCTGAAAAAACATCTTAACCAATTCAAATATCCATAAACCACTAGAACAATTGCCATCCCACATAAATGTACTAAAATTTAGCTCATCTGTAGGATGTAATGAAGATGACAACTGCCACAGTCACACCGTCATTAAATTACACATTTGTTTGTTGTGAATTTGCGCCCTCTAGGGGAGAAATGACATATTGTGAAAGAGAAAGCACTCCCTGTCTGTTTTGCTAATTTTACAAAAACATATTGCTTTGTTGTAATTAATAATATATACAAATAAAAATAGACCCTTTACAGTTTTCAAATCTGTGCTTGTCTTATCAATACGTTAAATAATGACAGCATTTTATGACTTAATCTGCTAATACGTGTCTCTGTGTTCGTCGACCCCAGGGAGTTAACTTAGTTTAAACGTCAAATATTCCTTAGATGGTGAAGCTGCATTTCATCAGCTATCAGTGTCATATAATACTTCATAAATTAGGAACTAAAAATCAAAAGAAAATATAAACAAAACCCTAATCATAGCTATCATTTCCACAGAATACATGCACTTTCTGTAGGTCACTTTGATAAGAAAATGACCTTTGCCAAAAACGAGCGAGAGGATGATGTAGTTGTGACCTTACCTGGCTAATGTCCCTCTTGGAGATGCCCCTGATGCGGGCGTAAAAATAGAGATGTTCCTCCCCAGTCAGAAGGTCATCCAGTGCGTCCACCTGAGGGCAGTAACCAATGTTTATGCCCTCTCTCCTGCAGTCTATGATGTCAACCATCCTCCTGAGGACACAGGCCAGAGAGATTTATGAACAGGCAATGAAAACCAACACAAATGTCTAGTAAATAGCTGGGAGTGCATTAGAAAAAGACGATGCAAACAGTTAAAGTAACAGATGTCGTTTTTAAAGGGGGAAGGAAAAAAAGGTACCCGTCAATGTCACGGATCTTGGCCGAGCCGCCAGAAGGGCTGATGTCTCCCGTCAGCATCTTAAAGGTAGTGGTCTTTCCTGCACCATTGACTCCAAGCAATCCAAAGCACTGAAGAAACATAATTCACATTCAATGTGTAACTGTCATTGATTATTCTTACACTATCATAAATCTTATATAAAAAAAACAAACATTCGGAGGTAAAAAATAATGAAGCAGGGCATATTTGCCAAGTGCTTTAAAAGGGAATGTTTGGAAATATATAGCTGAGTTCCCTTGTGATGATTGTATACACGACATGCGCATTTCTCAACAAACATCCACATTCTGTTTGAAACGTTATTGATTTGGTCGTTTCATATTTAATGTTTGTACAAAACTTTTTCCTGCTTATATAAAGTTTGAAGTGCTAAAGCCTTTTCATGCCAAGGATGATAACTATAATGGTTAAGTTCATTGGAATCAGTTTGTGAAGAATTTTTTCCAGGTTTTGAACAATACAAATTGACCAATGATGCAATTATCTTTACACTAGTCTATAGTTATTAATGATTTACAGTAAGGGCTGCATGTTATTGGAAAAATTCAATATTAAAATAAGTTTTGCGATATGAATAGTAACACACGATAGTTTGAATAGCTCTATTGACGATTCTCAGAAGTAAAGTCTGGATCGCATACGCAGCCGGCTTGAAGTGTGATATGCACAACATTATAGCAGCATTTTTTATGATACTATATAACAATAATTCTTATTTTAAAGTTACTGTGATGGTTGGGTTTGGGGTCAGGTGGGGGTAGGCGTTAAAAAATATAATTTAGTGGGTAATTTAATAGATAGCATAATTAATACTCGGTACAACTACTGTTTTTACATTACAGTGATGATTGGGTTTAAGTTTAGGGTAGGGGTAGACGTTAATAAAATCCAATAAATGGGAAATTTAATAAATAATATAAATAATTCTTGTTAACTTCCAGCCACAACTGTATCTGATCTAGCAACAACCATTTTCTGGGGAGTCTAACAGTAGTCAGGTACAGAAATTGAATAATCACATTGCAAAAAAACGTGTTTCTTATTTTGCTTTGTCTCCTTTCCGGTCCAAATATCTAATAATTCTTAGATCAAGTAAAAAAGTTGTTTTGTTTTCAACTTCAGAAGTAAAAATTTGTCTAAATTAAGAGCTTTTTTTCTTAAAACATGCTAAATAATCTGCCAGTGGGGTAAGTAAGATTATCCTGTTTTTGCCTTGAAATGTAAATATTTAGACTAGAAACTAGACAAAAATTCCAATTAAGATTTTTTTAAATCAAATAAAGTCAGCAAATCATATATGTTATATATATTCTGTATAAATAAAGTAATTAAATACAATTCTCTGCCTCCTGGGGTCCATTCTTCATACCTCGCTTAAATGGTCTAAGATGATTTGGCAGATCCTGGATCTTGGATCTAAACTGATCTCTGGCTAATTTGGTTCTTCAAACAAGTTCACGAATCGGATTAAAATGTCTGGATGAATTGATCTGAGATCCTTGCGTGTGTTATTAAGAAGTGATCTTTCGATCCTTGAAATCATGATCAGCAAGGCAACGATTTTCTGACGGGACAGCAGCGTAATGACATCATCTGATTAATATTCAATTATCCATGTAAGCGAAATTACATAAAACTTGTAGTAAACGATGTTAAATATGATACGCAAAAACTTTCCACCTTTGTTGTGAGCTGCATACTGTACTCTTTCATTTGTCTAGAGAATTTAGCAATTTATTTAGTTTTACATTCAGAGCAAATTTTCCTGTTTATAGTAGCCAAGGCCTATTCACGATTGCAAAGAAAATATCTGTTTGCACACATACAAAAGAAATACAATATAAAATAATTCACAGACTCCATATCTCCCCTAACCACAGACATTTATTTAACCCTTCTAATTTGCCTATGTGTTCGAAATGTAAAACTGATGTAGGTACTTTAACGCATTGTATGTGGTCATGTAACAGACTGCAAAGGTTTTGGTCTTTGGTGCTGGGGGAAATGGAAAAGATCTTTAACATGCTGTTGCATTTTGACCCAGTTTCATTGATTTTGGGTATACCTAATGGACGCATTTTTTCATCAGCTAATAAGAAATTGCATAACACATTAACCTTTGCCGCCATAAAAATATTTTACTTGGATTAGTGCTAAATCTCCATCATGTAAAGGTTGGCAGAAGATAATTTTTGAGTTAATTCCCGTGGAACATCCTACCCATGTTTAACACAAAAAAAAACTGTAAAAAATTTTAGAGTCCATATTTGGATTATTTGGAATCTATTGTAGTTTTGCCCTATCACGATTAAAGGAATACTGTAACTGTATTATTATTTGAAAAATAGGCAATGTTTTAGCCCTTTTTCTGATCTGTTTTATTTGGGGTAGTCCTGTTTTATATATAATCAGAGCTTTTTTTCTTTTCCTTTTTTATTTTTTTTTCGCCATTGATTTGTTTGATATTTTTCTTTTGAAGATGTTTTGTTATGTCTGTATTAATGTGAAAACCCAATAAACATAATTATAAAAAAATAGGGTTAGAAAATGTTATATATTTCAAAGGAAAAACAATAGAAATAAACAGATATTGGAATAAAGTAAGTAAATGATCATATGATTAAAATGAACTACAACACAACATCCACTTTTCAGATCAAATAAAACCCAATGCGCCAAATCATATTCATGTTGATTATAAGAAATAGATCTAATTAGGAAAATAAAATAGGCTGCAAATTCCATTTCATGTTGACTCTAGACTGGAATATTGATTTTCATGTAAACACTCTCATAATGAATATTAATATGCAAATAGCACAGACCTCGCCAGCTGGGATGCCCACAGACAGACTCTTCACCGCCTGTACCCTCTTGCTGAAGTTTTGGTACACCTTAGTCAGGTGATTAACCTGCAGAATATCAGAGCTTGCATCTCCACGGCCCACACGCAGACGTTCATCCAGCACATCTTCATCTTCATTAGGACTATAACTCTGAACAGCATTCCTCTTCCAGCAGAATAACCGCCTGTGAAGAACACACCAACGCACCAAAAATGAAAGATATAATATATAATTTTATACATTAGTAGTCAAGCATTTAGCAGATGCTTTTATCTAAAGCCACTTATATTGCATTAAGATTACATAGTGTATCACTTCATGCATTTCCATAAAGATTTCAACACTTAATCCTGGCATTTGGAGCTATTTAAACCATATACATTCACCGGCCACTTTATTAGGTACACGTGTCCAACTGCTCATTACCGCAAATTTCTAATCAGCAAATCACATAACAGCAACTCAATGCATTTAGGCATATAGACATGTTCAAGACGATATGCTGCAGTTCAAATCGAGCGTCAGAATGAGTGGAGATTTAATGTTTGCTTGGTCGATTTTGTAAAAACTGAGCGGTTCACTAGCAAGAAAATGGATCTGCAATTAGCCAATGTTATTCCTCATTACTGCAAACAGGTAAGAGGGCTAATTTTGATACATGCCATGACTATCCATAATAATTGTTTTTATTTTTATGTAAACAATAAATATATTTAACATTTTTATCCTTAGGGCAAAGCAGTGGCGCAGTAGGTAGTGCTGTCGCCTCACAACAAGAAGGTCGCTGGGATGCTGGTTCGAGCCTGTGCTCAGTTGGCATTTCTGTGTGGAGTTTGCATGTTCTTCCTACGTTCGTGTGGGTTTCCTACGGGTGCTCCGGTTTCCCCCACAGTCCAAAGACATGCGGTACAGGTGAATTGGGTAGGCTAAATTGTCCGTAGTGTATGAGTGTGCATGTAAATGTGTGTGTGGATGTTTCCCAGAGATGGGTTGTGGCTGGAAGGGCATCCGCTGCGTAAAAACTTGCTGGATAAGTTGGTGGTTCATTCCACTGTGGCGACCCTGGATTAATAAAGCGACTCAGCTGACAAGAAAATGAATGAAATGAATGAATTTTTATCCTTCAATTTCTCCTATTTAAAGATTTTTGTGTTGCTGCACATCTCTGTTTGTGTAATACGCAATGTGTATCTGGGGGTTTTAGACCTGCCTAGAGGTGTAAATCACCAACACAGACTTTAAATAACAACAAAAACTGCACTGTTTACTTTAGACCAGCTTGTAATTGGTCAATGTGGGATCTATTTCAGTTGCCTCAAAACAACAATGCGTGTTACTGCGCGTTTTTCCTTGCTAATGCACTACTTTTCTATTGTTTTTCTATGTAAACACGTGCTTGACAGACATCTGTGTCCATTGTGCTCGCATCTCGTGTCTTTTATAGAGCCTTGCACGTGAGCGCCACATTTTTTTTCCATTGCAAGTTTCTGTTTACAGGCACTCAGTGTCCAGATACCCTCCTGCTTTATGCTGTGCTTTTTTTTCAAACCATTACAAAGCATTGAGTCTTGCATTTTTTTGTAAGCAAAGACGCTTTCAGTGTGAATAAGCCCTAACACACCTCCTATTCATGCCCGCACACCCAAGGGCACTCAAACAGGCGCAAATGCGTTCGCTATTTAAACAACATGGCACAGGATGTGAAAATGATACCTGCACCAGACTGAAACTGGCAAATAATACTTGTCGTACACGGCTCTGCATTGAGTGTATAATAAGGCTCATAGTGTCAGAGCCTCAGGTATACCTGACTTTGCGAAGGAGTGTCTTGTTAAGCAGCAGGCGGAGCGTGAAGCAGATGAAGCCCTGCAGGAACATGGAAATGAACATCCAGCCCAGAACATCCATGCTGAAGGGGTTCTTGTAGGCATCCACTCCAAAACCGCTCAAGATCTGCACCTGCATGTCAACCCGTGCCAGCTCCATCAACCCATTGCCAAAGCTGAACTGAGGGAAGACTAGAAATATGTTGCTCATGGTTTGGTAGATATTCTGGATGCTCTGAAATGAAGAGTGAGATCCAGGTTAGAGAAGAAAGGACAATCTGCAAAGCTATTCTATTTTGATAGGGTTATTTGTTTGGTGAAAACTTATATTATATTCTTATTTTATATTATAGTCACATGTTGAACTAGAGATTAAAAGATTGTGGTGAGTACTTTTTAGCAATAGTGCATAAAACTGATGATAATTATATGAAATGTATAGATTTATGGTAACCATTAATGAATAACAAACTTTTTAAGCACCAAAATCAGCATATTCCAATGATCTTGGAATAATGTGATGCAGAAAAATTGATTATTGATTCATTTTCCTTTAGCTCAGTCCCTGATTTAACAACGGACTAAGGATGCTGCAAATTAAAGCTTTGTCATTATAAGGATACAATTGTTTCTAAAACATAAAAATGAACAATATATTTTAAAACTGTAATAATATATTTTTATCAAACCTTGGCGATCATAAGAAACATCAAGAAAAAAAAAACTATTAAAATATTTAATTCCCCAAAAAAGCAAGAAGATATAAGCATTAACTCTCTGTTTACATGTTGGTAAGCAGTTTATAACTGCAGATACAAGTGCTCTACTCTTTACTTATAAGCACATATATAATGTGATTTTATTTTTATATTTTGTTATTTATTATTTTTTCATTACTAAATTAAGTATTGCATCATTTACAAACCAGTTATTTGAGAGACGTTGCTGTTTTTTAAAGATTAATCAAAATGCGTTAGGAAATGATTAATAAACTATTCAAATTAACATATGCATTTCTTATTATTCAAGCATATACTAATAGTAATATGTTAATAAATGCTTTATTAATTTAACGTCATGCAGTTTTGTGACCTAATCTAAAGCGAGGAGAATGTATGCTTTATAAATTCATCAAAAATAACAATTAAAGGCTCAACTATTAGTATATGCCTGAATAATAATATATAAATGTTGATTTTAATATGTATTAATCATTTACTAACTCATTCTGAATGAACTTAAATACCCCAACCACTCTTAAATATAAATTATTTTTAAATAATGCCATACTTAATTTAGTCATGAAGAATTTATCAGTAACAAAGTATGAAAGAATAATTATTAAGCATATTTTAAATTAAATAAACTCCTTAGTAATGTTTATTAATGTAGAGTTAATGCTTAACAAATAATAAATTCACTGTTTGCTAATGCTTAATAGATAATTCATAGTGTGTAGTAAATATAAAGTGCTACACCATTCACTCTTGTGTATTACTCCACCAACATACAGCAACAAGCAGAGGACACTCTACAGTTTGATAAAAATTGCTGCTGTTGGACAACATAAAACATAACAACAAAAAAAACATAATGTACTTTTAAGGCTTTTTTAGCTGAAAATGCAGTTGTTTAGATTGCAACAATGCAGTTTATTTATAAGGATTTTTAAAAATATTTATAATTTCCAGGGCATCAGATTGAATGCATCGGCCACATTAGCCTGTCTGAGCAGACCAAAGAAAGTAATGGTTGATGTTTCGCCACAAGATGGCGACAGAGGCCGCATAAAAAGTCCTTAGGGGAGAGAAACAGCATTTTCTCACCATAAACTTCAAACTACAGCAGAGCAAATTTGTATAAATCAGGTAAGTGACATTCTAAGCTGATCTCCCTCTTCAGTATTTTGCATTGATGTATTATACCAAAGAAACTGGTAGTGTTTGCTTTGCTCTGTCTTTTTCAGGGTTAATTATTGTGATATCCCGATCACAATAACAGCAACAGACAAATCCTGAGAAATCTCTGTAGACTGATGACATTTCATGCCGTTCAGCCTTAAAATATTAAAATGTGTGTGTAAAATCACCTTTTTTGTCATCACTGTAGATATTATGCTAGAGAATCATTTAAATAGTAGCTCTAAAGTGATGTTGTTGAATTAGTAATGGCTTCTGCTGTTCTGACGTCAGCTGCAGATGTGAATGAACGGCGGAAGAAAGTAGTTCCTCATACAAAAGAATTCTGAGACTCTCTCGTGTTTGATCTTTGTTTATATACAGGATTATGCCCTCATTCTGTTGTATAAATGCAATATCACACTCGTAGCAGTGCGATGTGGCTGTATACCATCACTAGTGGGACACTGAGGCACTCAGCCAGGTGCCTATATACTGTACATGATCGTCTCTCTGACTCATTGCTCACCTGGTCATTCTGGTTGAGCTGACCGAGGAAGTATATGATGGATGTGGAAATGATGGTGTTGACACTGATGAAGAGATTGATGCAAACATAACCAATGAAAGCCATCTCTGTATCTTTGAACATCGCGGATAGAAGGTACATCCAAGGGAAGGTGGAAAATCTAAAAAAAGAGACATAAAAAAACCTATAAAATCAGTCAATTTTAGGTTGCATGCATCAAAAAGACAAAAGAACTATAGTAAGACTTCCGCTCTGAGTTTAGCAAAGCGAGAGCGAGAGAGAGAGAATATATTCCACAGTTGAGCTAAGAGGCCAGAAGATAAATGAGTTCATCTATTTCCTCTTGGTGAAGCATTCTCTCGCCTCTTCAGCTTTACAGAATGATCTGCTTTTTTATTCATTACTCTTGGTGATTGGGGTGGCGGGGTCAAGGAAGAGGATGTGTTTAAACTCAGGGTGTACTATGTGTGTGTGTGTGTGCATGTACCCATTTGCCGGCCTGTGTGCGCCTATTGTTAGTGGTGGAAAGTCCACATCGCTCAGCTAAACAAAAGCAATTAAGCAGGTTGAAGGGAAAGTGGTCGGATGGCTGTGATGTGTGGTTATTTATGGGAAGAGAGCCGGTGAGCTCACAGGCAGGATGAATGCAGGCCAGACTGCTGACTTCACACAATGAAGGGCCTCCCAAGCAGCCTGGAGCTCTGAAGCCTAAAGTCTGACTGTGAGTGGCCTCACTGCTCTCCACAATGCAATTAACTGGGTGACGGAGTGTGTGAAATCGCTTCTTCAGAGCTCAGGCCTTGCAGGAAAGCTTCAAGGGGCTCTCCTCTTCCTAGCAAAGAGCCTGTGTTTACCTGAAAGGTGGCGCATTAACTAAAATGTCCTCTTTGCCAACGTGTAGCGTTTGCTGAATAATACATTCATGAAGCCCTAATGCCTTGAGGAGCTGTCAGCACGGAGATGTTCTAATGAAACGTCTGTCTTGTGACAGGAAAATCTCTGGTGATAGAGGGACTTTAATGCATGCTGACCCAAATAGCACCAGTAGGAGTGTGACCGCGGCAAGGTTCTGTCTCTCTGTGAAGGCTGGGAGCTGAAATGCTGCGACCATCACCACCGACAGCACCACTGGAATCATGTATAGAGCCTGCAATGCAGAAAAGCACACATTGTAAATATAAACAGTCTTGCATGGAATATGTTTTATCATTAAAGTTGACACTAAATAAAAGTTGCGAACACGTTTTTTCTTCTCCATTGTGATGTGAAATGACTTCTCAAACAAGAAAATATGTTAAAAAAAAAGTCTTATTTTTGCCCGTTAATTATTTGTGTATCTCATGTGATTAGTTGTGAATTAAACTTATGAGCAAAACTGGAATACTGCATATAACATTTGCAAATTGAGCACAGTTTCCATCCAATAAATTAAATAAAACTATATTTTCACTTGCTGATAAACTGCCGGAAACATCAAAAAGAATAATTAAATTTGCTGTGGTAAGAAATGCCAATTTGGACGTTTTATCTTAAATAATAAGTTAGTTGTGCTTCAGAAGACGAAGACGAAATGCAATGAACGCGCAATGACTTTTGAAGGCGCGAGACGCTCTTTGAGGAACTCAGGAAGTAATAATAATGACCCATTTTGATAACAGATTGACCAAATCAACATATCAGATGTTGTACAATGTAGTTGGTTCACTGGTTTGTCCATCCTCCAATTGGCCTAATTTTGGTTGTCACATGATCTGTTCAAGCAAAATCATGACTTTTTTAGATGCGCATGCTGGAATTTGTTCAGTGTTTAAACTACGTGTTTCAATCATAATTTATGCATATTATTTCTTAGTGGATTTATCCTACTCAGTGGTTTTCATGTACATTTTCAAAATTTATGTCCATCTTCCATTTACAATGTTTATGCAATACTCCAAAATAAAAAATAAATAAAATAGGTGGATGGAACAGCAATTTTGACAGGGTGTCCAACCCTCACATTGGAAAGTACATGAACATAAGGGAATAGAAGTTATTTGTATTAAAGTTTATGAAGGCATATGAATTCACATTTCAGTCATTTATAATGACTGTTTTATAGTGACTTCCCTATTTAATTAATTATAATTTGAATTATAATAATCTGAGCCATGTATAAAGTTAAAGTATGAATTATTAGAATTTCCCTAACCCACCTAGTTAACCTAATTAACCTAGTTAAGTCTTAAAATATCACTTTAAGTTGTATAGAAGTGTCTTAAAAACATCTAGTCAAATATTATTTACTGTCATCATGGCAAAGATAATATAATTCAGTTATTAGAAATGAGTTATTAAAACTATTATGTTTAGAAATGTGTTGAAAAAAATCTGCTCTCCGTTAAACATTAATTGGGGAAAAATAAACAGGGGGGCTAATAATTCTGACTGTGTATATATATATATATATATATATATTTTTTTTTTTTTTATTATTATTATTTTTTATTTATGGTCCCCTTTATTTTGTCGACTATAAGTAACTTTGTAACTACATGCCTACTGTACCAATACCTTTTGGGTACTAGCTGCAAAACACTAGCCAACAATTGTAAATATTATTTGGGTGAGATCACGTGAGGAACCTCTGGCTTGATGATCCTGTGTTATGTGATGTGCCATGATTGTCAAATGTTGTGGTGTGTGAATATCTGAGATTTGAGGAAGAAATCTGTGAAGATTGTCCTTAAGTGCCTGATGCAACCAGATTTCATCAGTTTGAATTTTTTTCAACTCAAGTTTATATGAGCTTAGCTTAACTCTAGAGATAGCTAATGTTTAAAGAAGATCAACAAAATAAAGTGAAACCCGAATGGTTTTGTTGTTACAACAGTATTTCATGTAGTTTGGATTGTTATTTGAACAGTTTCTTCTTGTTTATTTTAGATCACTTATCAGATATAAAAGGATACAATCTATTAATACTGAAGTACCATATCATAGAAGAAGTTGATGATCCAGTAAAAAGGTTCGCTGATGCCAGAGATTTGCTGTAGTCTCTTGGAGCCTGTGTGATGTTCCTGAACCTCATAGATGACAAAGCTAGCAGTCATGATGGAGTAGCCAGTGAGGACACAGAGCGCAACCAGGATGCTGACCAGACCGCCCACCCTTGAGAAACAACAGGACAGAGAATTAATAATTGAGCTCATGGATTTGAAGACCAGCAAAGAGATGGATATTTCACTACATACAGTATCTATGCTTACATCTTTGAAATTATACTATATTGCTTTCATGCTGAATGGATAAGTACATTGAGATCTTATATGTCAGCATCTCCTACCACTCAATCAGTGACACTCATCAAAACACTCAAAATAATTGGCGATTACACTCATAAAACAGGCAGTTATGTCTAAAGCGAACATAATCAGTTGAGAAAGAAAATGCATGTGTTTTATCCAGCCTGATCTCACAAGGAAACTTAAATATTTTACGTTTTGTCTGTTTAGTGGCTAATTCAAACAAATTTGCATGAGTTCAGTCTTACGAATATGTACGGTTTTAAAAAGTAGGCGTGTCACCCAACCCCACCCCTAACCCCAACCATCATTGGGTGATGAGCAAATCATACTAAATTGTACAAATTAGATCATTCGAATTCATACGAATTAGGCACTAAATCAAAAAGTTACGAATTGGCGTGAGATTGCGTTGGTTTTATCACTGTATTGGTATGTGTATTAGTTTTAAAGTGACAGCAGCCTTATGCATATCTGTCAAACAACAAAATGTTAATGTTAAACAACAAAAGACAAATAAGCGTTAGACCTACAGTACAAGAAGAACTGCTAAGAAGAACTATCTGAACTGTAATTAGGAATTGTAAAATTTAATTGGTTTTTCTATGCTTATTTTATTGAACACAAGTTAGGGAAAAAAGAACAACAACGACTGTTTAAAACTCTAAACTAAAATGACAATGTGATGTAAACTGAGATACTTGAACTACAGAAAGGGCACTTGCATTCAGTGTTGGGTGTAACGGGTTACAAACTAAATCATTACTGTAATTAAATTACTTTTACACTAATAAAGGGAGGTATTACTTTTTATTTTTAGCAAATTTAATTACAGTTACTTAAAATGTAATTGCCTCAAACACTGTATATAAGTTCTAAAGTTCAGGATAGAGCAGTTCAGAGGAGCAGAGTAATTGTATTTTTTGTCATACAAATATATTTTTATATAATATAAGAAGGTTACAAATCTCTCATTAAAATTCATATTTTTATAATAGGATTTTTTACTATATGATATTTGTCAATATACATTAGATTTGTCAGCACTAATACCAAATCCAGAGCTAATCTAACAAAATAATTTACGATAATGGTTCAAAAATTAGCCCAAATTTATGTTAAGAAAAATATGAAATAGTAAAAATGAAAAAAATTATACAATTTTGTTGAAATTTGTAGTTTGTCTTTTTTGTTTTTGCAATATTTTGCATGTATTTGCATATATTATCTTTCCATTTCTAAAGATGTTTTGTTACTAATATATTATTTTATAAATATATAATTAACAAATCTGTTTTGTTTAAATGCACCAATATATATATATATATATATATATATATATATATATATATATATATATATATATATATATATATATATATACCCATTTTCACTGAGAAATGGATAAAACATTCATTTTCAAATGGGGTATACTCAATTATTTTGAGCACTGTATATAGTATGTATGAAGCATGGTGTCATAACTTTGAAATGTTTCATGTTTTGATAAATATGATGTTTCACTTTTCTAAAGAATTACGTTTTTTTAACTTCTGGCTAAGAGATTAACAAAGCTAAAAGCCGCTTGACTCATATTAAAACAATTATAAAGAGATTAAGTTCTATTGTACGTGTGTTGAGATGTATGTATGGTTAAAAGAAAATCGGCACACTGCTACTTTAGCTTTTAATTTATTTTATTTTTTATTGTAATAATAATAAAAAAATAATAAATACATAAAAAATGTAATTAGCTTATTCATTTTTATAAATTTAAGTGGATTAAACATAAAACAATAACGTTGTCCCTTAAAAAATCAAGAATCTTGTTTCAGCTCATTTTAAATGCGTAGTTTGAACAAACAGCAAATCTCATTTTTTTGAGTGTCAATGGCATATGTTTTATGCAGCGCATGCCCTTCCAACCACAACCCACTACTGGGAAACACCCATACACTCTCACATTCACACACACACTCATACACTATACAGCCAATTTAGTTTATCCAATTCACCTATAGCGCTTGTGTTTGGACTGTGGGGGAAACCAGAGCACCCAGAGGAAACCTACATGACCACAGGGAGAACACAGAAATGCTGACTGGCCCACTCGAGACTCGAACCAGCAACCTTCTTGCTGTGAGGTGACTAACTACAAACTGCTAACTACAACGCCACTGTGACGCACATTTTTTGAGTGTATTTTTTGTATTTTTTTCTAGTCAAGCAATTGAAAAGTCATTTAAAAACTGTACATTGTGTTTGATTTAATTAGCTATCAATAATTGATTTCTGTTTTAAAGTAACTTCCCCAACACTGCTTGCATTGAATTTCAAATTGTACAAAAAAAATTTTTTTGGGGGGGGTTCAAATTTTATGCTCTGGATGTTGCGGGAATATTTCCCCACGGCATATAAAAAAATGGTATTGAATATCAATACATTTGAAGTCAGCAGTTATTCTACAGCAGCGATCAAGTGCATTGAGAGATTTGGAGCACATGCCCTGCTGTTATACCCTTACAATACAAACTGCACTTCCAAGTGTCTCACAAGAGCTTAACGCTGTTCTTCAGTCAAGCCTGATGCATTTACAGCAGCACCAGACACAGTGAGGAGGAAAGATGAAAGCCATGAGAATTAAGATCTCTCTATCTGCGAGAATTGTGTAAGACAGAGTCAGAGACGATCAAGAGTTCAGTCTCAGCAGGACATTTCTTCTTCTAGTAGACACCAGCTGAGCTTCTGCCTTTAATGCTGTCCCTACGCGCCCCATCTAGTACTATGCCTCCAAAAAAGAAATCAAGAATAGAGGACAAATAAGAACGAAGCGAGCTCATGGAAGGGCAGAAGCATCATACCACAGAGAGTCAGAAGCCAGGATCACTTTACATTCAGGGCTCGGTTGGCTGACCACTGAAGTCAAGGGATAAACTACCTAGATCATACTTGTACTCTACAGCTCCAAACTTTTCTGGAAAACTGTGAAACTTTGTATCGAAGCCTTACTTGTCAATTAAGGCTGTTAGACGAGACCTCAGAGATAACGTTTAAAGGCAATTACTGTATGTTTTTAATAATGATTTTTGCACAGATCAATCATTTATCTTTATAAGACCTTAATGTATCATTAGGAGCCACAGCTATTCATTTTGTTTTGCATGTGTGTGTATTTTGGTTTTGACCATGAAAGTGTCAGTAGCTATCAACTTGAATTTTATGAATTACCAAGGGTCACGGCTGAAGCTGAAAATATTTTACAGATGAAACAAAGTAAAGGTATATTTTCATTGTGCCATATTGCCCTCATTAAAGACAGTTTTAATGAATTAGGTGATAATTAAAACTGTAATTGTAAAAATATGTCTGCCATTAGCCAATCACATATCATTAGGGTTGTATAGAAATGTATTATATATAAAATTATGCACTTGACTGAAGTGGTTGGCTATGAAAATCTATTTATCATTTATTTAACTATTTGTTTGTTTGTTTATTTGTCAGTTCATTTATTTTTTTCTTTTTTTATCTATTTATTTATTTATTTATTTTTTTATCTATTTATCAATTTATTTATTGATTTATTTAACTATCTCTTTATTTATTTATTTTTTATTTATCTATTAATTTATCTATTTATTTATTTATCTATTTATTTAACTATTTATTTATTTATTTATTTATCCATTTATTTAACTATTTATTTATTTATTTACCTATCTATTTATTTATTTTTTATTTATATATCTATTTAGTTATTTATTGATTGATTTAACTATCTCTTTATTTCTTTCTTTCTTTATTTATTATTTCAGTTAGTTTTTCAGTTTATTTCATTTAGTTTTCGTTTTTCATTTATTATAATTTTTAACATTTTATTTCAAGTAACTAAAATGTTTTTTGACCAACAGTTTTAGTCTTAGTTTTTATTTATTAAAATGGCCCTGGAAGTAAGTTCTTTTCTAGGAATGCTTTTGGATTTCTGATTCATTTGCTTATGGGGGATCGACTAGGAATAATGAGGGGCAGTAAATGGTCAAAGTATATATGTATATATATATATAGTTTGCAACATCAGTTTGAATATAGAACATGTTTTATGGCTAAAAATCAATGGCAGTGAATAAAAGTCTAGCTTTGGAGAGTTAACCCCCTAACTCCCAAACCTCCAATTTTTGTTTTAATCGCACTCTCTATTGTGAAAAATACATGTAAACATAAACTAAATTTTGGGGGAGAAATGCAACAAATGCATTTAGAAACAGTTGAGTTCCCCCTCCTCTTCGTCACAGTGGTTTGGCCCACTGCCTGCTTTCTCAGTTCATCTCACCTGCTCTACACACACACAGGAGTCAGGTGTGTGGCTGTGACTCAGCTAATGTTATACTCCAGTAAGTAGGGTATTTTATTCACAGTAAATAAACTGATTCTCTTTAATGTAGTTGATGCAGACTCATTCATAAATAAGTTGTGGCAAAAATGATGATTACAGTGTAATTTTCCATGCGTCTGCTACAAAAATATTACTTATCTAGTTAGCTTGTTTACAATTGCTTATTGCATAGTGCACTCCAACTAACAAGCCAAAGCTGTTTTCCATGCATTGTTTCATTAGTGTCAACTTGTCATAATGTTAACTTAACATTAACGGCCACAATTAGCATATTGTTTAGCTGTGCATTTGCTAAATAAGCACTGAGCTATGTCAGAAATGCCCCACAGTATTTTTGTGTAATCAATTTTTGTTCTTTTTAGTCTTAACTAATTTTAAATACAATTTTAAACCTTTTTATTTCCTTGTTTTAATTGTATATGAGAAGCATGTCAAACCAACAGAAATGTCAATGAGTGAAAAAAAAGATCCATTTCTCACCAGCTCTCCTTAGCTGTCTCTGACTGACCAACTGACCCACCCACACCCTTCCCTAAACAATAATCATGAGTAAAGCAAAGATTTCACGGTGGGAAGATAACTTTATAAGTACAATTTCACTTTATTATTTGTGTCCCCTTAAAAATTGGTCAAGAAATGTAATATTTATTGCCTACTGTTAAAGGTGTGGTCCATTTTTTGAACTTTAGTTGATGTGTAAACATAAACAACATCTCTGAATGTAATACGCTCAAAGTTTAATGCAAAGGGTGGCATTGGCTTTTATAAAGTTAGCTTTTAGAGTTAGCGTTAACACACATTGCTTTGCATCTTATAAACACAACCAAACCTTAAAAATACCCCTGCTGAAAAATCCAGCTTAAACCAGCCTAGGCTGGTTGGCTGGTTTTAGCTGGTCGACCAGGCTGGTTTTAGAGGGGTTTTGGCCACTTCCAGGCTGGTTTCTAGCCATTTCCAGCCTGGTTTTAGCTGGTCAGGTTGGGAGATGACCAGCTAAAACCAGCTTGACTAGCCTAGCCAAGTTGGGAGTCCAGCCAAAACCAGCTATATCCAGCTTAAACCAGGCTGGTCAAGCTGGTTTTAGCTGTATTCGGCTGGTCATTTTCCACCCTGAACAGCTAAGACCAGGCTGGAAATGGCTGGAAACCAGCCTGGGAATGGCCAAAACCCCTCTAAAACCAGCCTGGTCAACCAGCTAAAACCAGTCAACAAGCCTAGGCTGGTTTAAGCTGGATTTTTCAGCAGGGACACTGTGGACAACCCCTTTAAATTATATTTATGAGAATGCCCTGATCTTGTGTTAAACAAAGACTTTATTTTCAAAAACCCATTTTAAAAAATCTCATGACGATGAAACTAAAAGTTCAGAAATGCTAACTTGTATCTGAGCTGCAGGACTCATTCCTGCAGCACTCTATTTGTACTTGAAACAGCAGCCTGAGGCTGTTACCAACATGGCCGCCAAGTGCTTTGACTTGCCTTAAAGGCACTTTGCTTTTGATATAAGTGCCTGGTAAATGAATGCATTACTTTTAGGTTCTGTTCCTACTACTTGAAGAAGTAGCCGAGCTATTCTTCTTCATTTTCTTGCCTTCTCTGCATGTCTTCTCCATTCTCAAGAAATCTCTTTCTCAGGCCTAAGCAGCACAGGCATCAAGCCAGCCTTATCCCAGCTGTGAGACCGAAACAATTGAGCTCATTTTACAGAGCGTGTCTTTCAAATTTAGGCATGGTTGCCGACAGTGTGCGAAACACAAGCATGTTTGGGTGGCAACATTGAATCAATTAACCTCCGAACCACCTTCAGAGTAAACACACATTATATTGGGTTAGTAATCAATAAGCCAAGCTCAGGGAAAAAAAATCAAAGAGGAGTAAATACAGGAGTCAAATTACATTAGTTCAAGTGCTCCACTAGAATGAAAATGTCAGAGCAATGTTTGCATATCTTATCTAAAGCCCATCATTTGGTTGATTGCTTTCTTTTCCCCACCACTGGGTCTGTGATTTGGTACCGGCCCAACTAATACGTTCAGTCTGTATTTGGTCCCACAGAGTACTTTATCAGCTTTAGCTGCCAGACAGAAGGACGTGCATGCTTGCATATGCGTGTGTCTGTGTGTGTGTTCTCTTACATGAGATCCTCGTCTTGCACTTGGCCAGGGTAAGGATGGCTGGATATGGAAATAGCTGTAAAAAAAATAAAGTGAGAGAGATTTTAGCACATGAGAATGACTATATATGCCCGGCAAACACGTGACCAGCAATCTACTCCTCCCATGAACCTTTGCTGAATTTATGCTCTGTTTTGAGTTCACCGGCTACATTTGAATGAATGCATTCCCCCTTTTCCATTATTGACTGCTGGGATTGCATTAATCTTGCCTGGAGGCGGACAGTGAATCTCAGCCACTGGGCCAGTCTGGCAGTGTTGAAATAAAACCAGCTCTATCCCTTCATTTCAGTTCTCAGCACCTCTAATTAGCATTCAGACCACTCTGCTTCATGGCGAGAGAAAGTACAGACACACTGCCCCCTGTCTGAGGGTGGTGCCATTATATTAGTACAGTCTCAAAGATTAAGGGTGGAAAATATTTCAGATTGTTGATGAGATGTGATGAACCTGATGAGATGTCTGAACAATCTAAGCTAACTGAGTGTTTTAAAGATGTTAAAGACTGGATGACCAACAATTTTCTTCTCTTAAACTCAGACGAAAGAATTATTACTTATTGGGCCTAAATACTGTACAGAGAAGATCTCGCAACTTAATCTACAATTAGAGGGATACAAAGTTAGCGTTAGCTCTACTATAAAAAATCTGGGTGTCACATTAGACAGCAATGTAACTTTTGAAAATCATAAATCCCTTACATCATAAATGTCACAAAAACTTTTTTCACTTTCTTTCATCTGAGAAATATCGCTAAGTTATGAAGTATGCTATTCATCTCAGATGCAGAAAAGCTAGTCCATGCTTTTATGACTTCTAGGCTGGATTACTGTAATGCTCTTGTTGCTGGCTGCCTAGCATCCTCTATTAATAAACTTCATCTAGCACAAAATGCAGCTGCCAGAGTTTTTACCAGCTCTAGAAAATATGATCATATCACCCCAAATTGATCATCCTTACTCCGGCTGCCTGGTAAGTTTCGTATTGAATTTAAAATATTGCTTCTTTAAAACCAACCTTCTGTTTCGCTACAATCCAACACACTCTTTAAGATCTTAAAACTCAGGGCTTCTGGTAGTACCTAGAATAGCAAAGTCGAGTAAAGGAGGTCGAGCCTTCTCATTTATGGCTACTAAACTCTGGAATAGTCTTCCTGATAATGTCCGAGGTTCAGACACACTCTCGCAGTTCAAAACTAGATTAAAGACCTATCTGTTTAAAAAAGCATACACTCACTGCATCACTTGGTATGATACATGAATGTGCTCCACACATGTTTCCTCATTCCATAAAAGGTCCCATGAAATTAAAATAAGGTTTTTTAAATGTTAGTATCAGTATTGTTAGTTTTTAAGATAAAACTGATTTAAAAATGTCAAGCTTGAAGTTTGTCACTTCCGCCTAAATGGATCAATGGTTTTATTCACCTCACTTCATACTACAGTTTCTCATCAAATCACAACCAATCAAATGCTCTCTAGTAACGGACATGCCCCGCCCCCTTCAAGACGCATTTTATCTGATGCGCTTGAGCTCAACAACTCTCATTGGCAGTGATAAAACAAAACGCTATTGGCTATTTTGAAAAAGGGGAGGAGCTACATTTTCCCACCCTTTCTTCCTGTCTCGGTTGAGATTATGTCAAACATTGAATAAAAATGCATATTTCAAAGCATTTCACTGGACTTTTAAAGTACTAATGAGAGATTGAACTAACCGTATTGATATCGTTTCTCAGGTGGCAAACTGGATCTCAGGAAAAAGTTGTTAAGGCTGTTGAGGTAGGCTGGCATAGAGTGGTGACCTTCTGAATTATACCAAACCTGTGTGAACACAAATATTAATACAATCCATCACAATGGTAATAAAAAAGTCAGTCTAAGGCTCTGTTCCTGAGCTACACTGATTTATCAAGGAGTTAACAATTTGTTATTCTAAACTGTGTAAATATACATATAACTATTGTGTAAAATAATAAATGCATGCTTGGAATCAACTTTTGTTACTGAATGATATTTAGTTTCATTTGTTCTCTTGAAAAATTTCTTTTTTTCACCATAAAGAACGCAATGTTTAAAGCACTCATGCAATACTGCTTCAACAGTTTTAGTTTTCGAAAGCAATGTAATTCCGCAGCCTACCTTTTGAAACGGTTTTCGCATCAGGAGGGTGATTATGATGCATTAAAATACTGCCTACGTGGCAGCTTACTTGATTTTGGAGCCGAGCCTGTTAGTGTCTACATAAACTGCTATGCTGGGACAATGAGCCACTTTGCCATTGGGGCAATGTTATATCACTCATCCAAATTACCTTACTAAGGGTTCTGTTTGCTGGCACATCTAACATGTCCATCTTAAGATCAATGGGAAGAGGCTTTCCAAACTCCCAGCCTCCATATCTGAAACAAAGCACAAAAAAGCATAAATTAATCCTGGCTGGTATAACACTCTGTTTACATGTTGTATACATTTATGAAAATTCCACTGTGCATTTTCAGTGATCCAATAATAACAGCTCAGTCAAGTGCCGGTATGAGACTTTGACCATATGATAACCTTGGATAAAAATAGGTATACTGCTCTAAAATATATTCTTTTTAAATGTCTGGGTAAAATCAACAACTCTTTTCCCTATTGAACACAATATATTATGTTTTAAGAAACTGTGATCTTTGACTTCTGCTGTCTTCATTAGTTTCAAAAACACAGATTTCTTTACAACTTGAAGAGGCATATTTATTTTCTTTGGATATAAAGCAAGTTACTGGACTGTTAGGTCTATTGCATGCTTGAAAGTTGGTGCATAAGTGATTTGTTTTTAAATGTTTACTGAATCTTAGGGCTGATCGGTAGCTTATAATGTGGAGGGTCTTTTTCTGCTGGAGATACTGTTGCTGTAAAAAAAACTAAATAAAACTGCAATCAAACATGTAAAAAAATTACATATACCACAGAATACTTGATCAAACTTAAAACCTTTTCAAAATTTTCCAAACCGCATTAAACCTTGAAAGTGTTTATCATCCCATGCCTAGGTTCTCAAGGTGAATGTTCTCATTGCAAGATGATCCCATGGTGTCCATATCCTGGACCAGGCCGTATCCTGAGCAGTTGCTGTGGTGGTCATGGAGGAGTGGAGAGCATGAGACTGATTCCTGTTACGCCCCAGGGACAGACGAGCGGCCTCCACCGCTGAGACTTCAGCTCTGCACAAGACGTTTGGCCAGCGGAGAAATATAAATGGTAGTGCCCAACTGAGTCTGATTTCTCTCAAGGTTTTTTTTCTTCACTCTCGCCAATTGGTGAAGTTTTTTTTCCCTTGCCGCTGTCGCCACTAGATTGTATGGTTTGGGATTGATGGATTTGCTCTTCAGTGTTTGGACTCTCAGTAGTGAATATTAAACCACACTGAAATGAGATAAACTAATCTTAAACACTAAATACTAAACTACAGTTTTTCAATTTACTATGATCTTTTATGTGAAGCTGCTTTGACACAATCTACATTGTAAGTGCTATACAAATAAAGGCGAAATTGAACTGAATTGAATTGAATTGAATTGAACTGAACTGAACTGAACTGAACTGAATTGAATTGAATTGAATTGAATTGAATTGAATTGAATTGAATTGAATTGAATTGAATTGAATTGAGTTGAATGTGTTCCTTGACTCTAGGGGTCAAACAACAAACAATAAGGTCAAGAATCTTGGTGTTATTCTAGAGTCAGATATGAGTTTCAATAGTCATGACAAAGCAGTAGCTAAATCAGCATACTACCATCTCGAAATAATTGCAAGAATTGGATGCTTTGTTTCCAGTGAGAAACTTGTTCATGCTTTTATCACCAGCAGGGTGGATTACTGTAATAGACTCATCACTGGCCTATCCAAAAAGACAGTCAAACAGTTGTAGCTCATCCAGAACGCTGCTGCCAGGATTCTGACCAGAAGCAGAAAATCAGAGCACATCACACCTGTCCTCAGGTCTTTACACTGGCTCCTAGTTACATTCAGAATAGATTTTAAAGTATTATTACTTGTCTATAAATCACTAAAAGGCCAAGGACCTCAATGCAGTACAGATATGCTCATTGAATACAAACCTAACAGATCACTCAGATCTTTAGGATCAAGTAAATTGGAAACTCCAAGAGTTCTGTTAAAGCAGGGTGAATCTGCCTTCAGCTACTGCACCCCCTGCTGCTGGAATCAGCTTTCAGAAATGGTCAGATGTGCTTCAACATTAGGCACATTCAAATCAAGACTGAAAACACATCTGTTTAGCTGTGCCTTTACTGAATGAGCACTGTGCTACTTCCAACAAATCACACTATTATGTCTTTCTTTTCTTTTTCATTCTTTTAAAACCCGTTTTAATACATTTTATCTGTTTTGAATCACTGTTATTCTTTGTTTTTATTTTCTTATACTTGTCTCTTTTATTCCTGTTTATGTAACACACTTTGAATTACCCTTGTGTATGAAATGTGCTTTATAAATAAACTTGCCATCCCAGGCAGGTTACCAATTTCATCAGAGGTTAACATGCAGTTTTGTGATCACTTGTGCTCTCATTGCATGGAGAACCTTTCCTTTTATTTAGTCACACTTTTAATTTGGTGCACAAGCAATATTGAATGAATCAACCAGTGTTACATGACTTACAAATGAACCAATGTTAACATGTGAATGTTACTGTAATCTATGTAGTTATTTATCTGGCGTGAATAGTGTGATCTAATTCTAAGGTTAAAAAGTTGTTTAAATCACTTTTTAGTAACTTAAATGTGAATTTATGTTATTTCTCACATACTTTATGCAATAAATGTAGTGTTTTGATACTAAAGACTTCATTTGAACCATTCTATACATTTGTTCAATTCTCTCTGAGTGTCCTGCTAAAGCTGTGATTTGCCTTTTTTATTACTTATTTTCACCACCACATAGAGCAGGGTCTGCTTTGTATTTTATTCCTTTTTTTGGAAGAGCAATGTATGAATAATGAATGCTAGACTTACTATTTTAGGTGTAATAAAGCACTTTCATGCCAGCAGCACCCCCCAGTGCTGTGTGCTATTTGACTAGGATGGAAAATGTCAGCTGGTCGGAAATGCCATGGTAAAGACAGGATAAACTGAAGTGCTTCCTCTTTAATTATTAATCAGCCTACCAGCGGTTCATAAATTCCTTAATATTCCACCTCGCCATATTTTGAACTTTGTGACATGAAGAAATTACCTTGTGGGATTAGATTAATGCTGTGGAATGATTTGTGCAGTCAGATTGAGCAGTCACCTGTCTCTGATGAAGTTATTGGCAGTAGCCAGCAGGTAGTTTTCAATGTTGACGCCCGTAAGGTTATAGACGATCTGGGATGATGGACATCTTTTGCGAGGTGGATCGTAACCCTGTGCCGGACATGACTTGAAGAGAAAGAAAAGTGAGTGATATTCTCCAGAAACACCATTATAAAGAATTCAGTCAAATTCTGAATTAAAAGCTGCATTTAGCAAAAATTAACTAGATGAAACATTACGATTTAGTGATATTGTATATACACATAATTTGAAGTCAGGGTAAAACTTTATTTTGATGGTCCACTTGAGTATTAGCAGACTGTCTGCTTCGTTTCTGTTGATACTGCTCCTTCAACAGACGTTTAACTTTCTATAAGAAACTTTGCAAGTATATGTCAACTTACACTAAACCCTTACCCCAACCCTAAGTTTAAGCTCAACCTAACAGTCTACTTATAATCGAATTTAAAAATTAGTTGGAATATAGAAGCAATGTAACTTACAAATCAACAAACCGACCATCAAAATAAAGTGCAAACAAAGTCAGGTCTTTGTACTGTTTATTCTCTTTAAAAAATAGTAAGGAGAATGTTCAAGAATAAAAACAAACTAAATGCATTTATTAAACTTTATTTATATATATATATACTTTATATATATATATATATATTACATATACAACATTTATTTTGGATGGGATTAATCGCAGTTAATCATTTGAAAGCAGTCGTTTTTAGCGGAGTTATTTGAACAGTTAAAAGAGCAGCTAGAGGAGAGTGTTAGTATTTTTGAGTGCACCGTCATGAATCCATCTGCCTGTGTTTTTGTCTAATCTTGTATGACTATGGTGAGCCTGTAAAATGTTTATATTTGACCTATTTTAGTTTATCTGCACAACTTGTGTTATCCATAAACAGGTGAGATGTAGCTTCGGCTACAACACTCTTCCACAGGAAGCATGCAGTTTATTCATTAACCTTGTGTTAATTTTTTTAAAATAATAATAATAATTATGTAAACAATGGTTACATTCTGCATCTTTAACAAATTGTAAAAGAAGTTGAACAAGAAGCAAAAAAGGCCCACACTCAATAATTTATTAAATGAATCACAGGAGGAAAAAAAAACAAAGGTTTCGGCTGTGAGCCTTTGTCGGTTAAAAAAGCTGAACTGAAATTGCAGAGGAATAGCAGAAAATTGCATTAACCAACACAATTTTGGTGGCAAAACATGATTTATTACACCATTAACTTGACTAATTACACCTATTTACTCCCTAATATGTAATTGTTTTTCTCAGTTGACATATTTCCCTAAATTACGTTTAATCTC